TCATTTTTCATTTTTCTCTCATATTAAAGTTGCGTTTTAAAAGTATAGGTCCTTTTCCTATTTTTCATTGTTTTAAAACTAATACAAATTAAAAATTACCCAGATTGTTTAACTGCAACCATTATAATTTTATAAAGTAATTACAAAGCTAAAGCTTATTTTTTATTTCAATTTATTTTCTACATGCCTTCTGCATGTTCATGTAACAAGGTACTTACTACAAAATGAATTCTTTTGCTCAAACTCTGTACTGCCAAAAAATAAAAAAAAGAAAATTAAAAGCCTGAATTTGTCTATTTCAGCTTTTAATTATTTAATAGATTCTTATAATTTTAAAACTCAAATTTTTATTAAATCTTTCAATATTTGTTATATATTATTATTTTCTTAATATATTTTCAAATTTTGCCTTCTCATACATCAATATCATTTGAAATTTTTCTCACTCAATTTTGCATTCCTCATTGTGTTTTAAACACTATGTATTTGCTAGCATTCCGATATGTTTTTGATTGAAGTTGAAAATAATATTGATTATGCATTTTTCATTTACTGAAGTTTTCTTTTGAGTTGTGGTTGTTAATGAAATGCTTTCCAAATTCCTATATTTATGGACTAATCACATTTCTACCAAGGTTGGATGAACACTCATAGACCAATAAATACAATACAGCATATAAATCGAATCAACCATCCGTATCACTCATTTCATCCCAAAACTTATGGAAAAAGCCTCTGGCAAATTTCAACATTCATTCATGGTTTAAAATTGAAAAAGATACAGAGTCTCTGATCACACGTTGGCTTGCTTATGATAGACTACTTATTCAAAGAAACTCTTTGGCCATCATCAACATCTATATGGTTGATGAATATTAATTTTATTGTTGGGAAAATCTTACACAAGAAGAATTTGTTCCAGGTGATTTGACAATCAGCAAGCACATGAAGGTGACACAGAAAATCACCGTGAGGTATCCTTTGTCTTAAAGTTGCTAGCTTGTCACATACTTTGATGTTGGATTTCTAGTCCCAAAGACTAGAAGTATTTTCTGTCTTCTAAAATAGCACTGTCTTTTAAAATTCATTTGATAGGTATATAACCCATTCGCATAGCTTCTTTACTCATGCCAGTAAATTGTCTCTTAAAATCTAGGGAATGAGTACACTTTCTTAGAGGAATATTTTCCATACACATTTGCAGGAAAATCAATCTTATGATCACTTAATGTGAGATTCACAAGAATCTTTTCCTGATTCTTCCTGTGTACATTATGAGATCCCTCCATTAGCTTCCTCATTGGGGAAAATAATCCTGGATGAAATATTATTATCTAATTCATTCCTACTTTAACTCTCATCCTAAAAGTTAAAATTACAATAGCGTCGCATCAAAACTAATCAGGTGATCTTTCTCTTTATGGTAGGGCTCCTATGTGAAACACATACAGATTTAGTACTTGAAAATTTGTCTTTGAACATATGCCAAATAACCCTCATTGGAAATTGGTTTCTAAGGGTAACAATATGCTGCATAATAACCATGCCCCATTAAATAAAGCCTCCTGGACATATCAGACTTGGAGAAGAAGCACACACTGCTCTTACCGTAGCTTCTTGAGATTCTTTAGAAATATACCTTTCTGGCAAACTTTTCTTTTGAGCCAGCTAATAAAAATTCTTTGAGTTTTTATTTACTTCATAATCAACATGACAGCAGCAGCAACAACAACAACAACAAACCAAATGCCCCAATAGTATAAAGGTAGATACAGGAAGGAAAACAAATATATATTACAGAGATGTTTAGTACCTTATAGAAATGGCATGTTTTATTTGTTAAATGTGGCAATATTTTTGGCTTACCATAGTGGAAGAAGTTCTGTTCTCACTCACTTCACTTCACAGTAAGTATTCTTAAGATGTTGGATTTACTTGAAGGTAGAAACTGGAAGGAGAAGATTAGGGACTAAAGAAAGTAATCGCTTTAGTCTGGATTTACTTGTGATCGGTTGGTCAAATGCCCAGAAGTGGGATTGCTGGGTCATTGGGGAGCCCTATGTTAAGTCTTTGAGGAGCCTCCATACTGTTTTCCAGAGTATTTGAACACATTTCCCCATCCAGCCCACAGTGTAGTAAGGTTCCCTTTGGCCACATCCCTGCCAACATCTTTTGTTATTAGATTTCTTGATAATGCCCATTCTAGCTGGAGTGAGGAGGAATCTCAATGTTGTTTTGATTTGCATTTATTTTATCTCCAGTGATACTGAGTTTTCTTTATGTGTCCATTACCATTACTATTACCTCTTCAGAGAAGTCTCTCTCTAAATATTTACCCATTTGTTAATGGGATTGCTGTTGCTTAGAGGATTTGTGTTGGGGGGATTTAGTTTTTTGAGCTTTAAGTATATTTTAGATATAAGGTTCTATCTGCTGTATGGCTAGTGAAGATCTTCTCCCAATCTGTGGGCTTTCTTTTTCTTTTTCGCCGGTATCTAAATATTTGTTTATTTGTTTATTTTAATTTTATTGTGAAGGTGATGTACAGAGGGGTTACAGTTGCATAAATAAGGCAGTGAGTACATTACTTGTCAGACTTGTTATCCTCTCCCTCATTTTTCTTCCTCTTTCCCTTCACCCATACCCCCTCTCAAGTTGTACACATCATTTCCAACATAGTGTTGTGTGAGTGTCACTGTTGCATTGGTTCCTCCTTTGTCCTTTGTCTCACTGTTAGTTTTTTGTTCCTTTTCCCTTCCTTAATGCAGATGAACATATATACAAAACTCAGGGTGCCAAAATCAAATAAAGTGCCAACAGGGAATAAACCACAGCAGGAAACAAACACAAAAGGAAAAAGAAATCATGCAGTACATTAAACAAAACAACAACAAGCTTTCTTCTTTTTTAAAATGTTTTTTTATTGTGAAAATACTGTACAGAGGGGTTACAGTTACATGAGCAAGGTAATGAGTACACTTCTTATCAAGGATTGTAGCCTCCTCCAGGGATGGTAGGGGAAAAACAACAAGCTTTCTAGTTACCTTGCTAGCTCCGTCCGTTGCCATGAAGAAGCTCTGCAGTTTAATGCAATCCCATTTATCCAACTTTTCTTTGATCTGTGCGAAGGAGCCCTAGTCTTTATCCTATTTCCTCCTGTAAGTGAAGCAAACAAAGCCCAAAGAAATGTAGATTGCAGGGCTTCCCTCATTTGTCATAATAAGAATATGTCTATGATAGTCTTAGCAAGGGATAACAATAGCACGATTGCTGAGTATGTAGGACCATATGTAATGAAATGTACCATAATGAACTCCAAGAATTGGAAACAAGTTTCTGCCCCGGGCCATTCCGGTCAGTTGGTAGATGGTAAAATCTGGCATCTTGTCTTCATGGTGGGTAGAGGGCAGGGTGCTGGGCTGCCTGAATCCCTGGGGCCTGGATGGTTAATAAACCTGTCAGCCCAGTGCCTGGGATTAGGAGTTTCCTAGGACCCTGACCCCTGACTTCACTCTACTTAGGGGAGAACCAGCTCAGATGCCATTATGTTATGCCTCATAGCATGTTGGTGTCCTGTCTCCTGTCTCCTGCCTCTTGGCTTTTCTCTGGTCACCATGCTGTCCCAATTCAGCTATCCCTTGGATGCTTTTTTTCTTTTCTTTCCTCTCTGTCCTGCATGGCTCAGTTTTGTTTTGTTAACAGTGTTAAGTGTATTGTTGGCTGCTGGTCTTTGAGACAGGAGTCTACCATGCAGTCAATGGCCTTTTAATAAAGACTACAAGATTTGACACTCAAAGTGTGGCTTCTCTGTTTCCTTGCCTTATAAAAATATAAGCTTATCCGATCAGTGGAAGGGAAAGGTAAGCATAGAAATAGCAGGACAAGCAGAAAAGGTCAGATAAGTTGATGTTAGTGGAATGAACCCCAAGATAAGTATTCAAATTTTTTTTTCCTTTCATGCAATTGTTTCTATCATATTTATAAGATGATTTCTTTGTTGTTTGTATGTCCCTCCCCCACGGTATAACCTATACTTTCACTGTATTTGATGTTGGTATAATTTGTGGAGGGGAAGGGAAAACAACAAATCATTTAACTAGGGATACAGGTGGATCCATTGCAACAATGAGATGTACAATTCATTATGTCGAAAAATGAACTTAACAACTTTGGTGTGGGGCGGGGGGTGGGGGGGGAGGATTGGGTAGGGGAAAGGGAGGAGTATGGGAAGGGGTGGGAATGGGAAACAACGAGGAGGCAACAATGCTTGATAAGAAATGTACTTGTTATCTTGCCCATGTAATTGTAACTCCTCTGTATGGTATTCTCACAATATAAAAAAAGAAATAGCAGGACAAAGGATGAACTAATGCAACAAGAATAGACACTAGGCATTATGTTGGAAATGGACTGTATAACTTGGAAAGGGAAGTGGGAAGTGGAAACAGGAGAAAATGAAGGAGAGGGTAACAATGTTTAAAAAGAAATGGACTCATTACCTTACTTTTGTCTGTAACCACCTTGTTCATCACTTTTACAATATTTTTTTAACTAAAGAAAGGGATAATATTGACCAAACATTTACTTATTACCTGACATATGAAATTGTAACCCTTTTGTACAATTAATAATAATAATAATAGTGGTAGTAGTAATAATAATAAGCCACAAACAGATATTCTATTTATGATTTCCCCCTAATTATTAATTTAGAAATGGGAATAATAATAAGGTATAACATTTTTATATTCCCTAAATGGTTTAAAAGAGCATGTATAGGTTAAAAATGGAGAAAGTTACATTTAAATATATCATATATAAATGTCTTTTTATACCATTTTTATAGGTCATGATTATATTTAAGTTATAATGTTGAACTTCATGATTAATTATGAGACAACCAAGGGTACTGAAAAAAATCCCATATACAGACAATCCATGTGGAAATCATTTGAGCTAAGCATCAACCCTCACTTCTCAACAGTGTCCATCAGCACACAATGAGATCCTGGAACAACACAGAGGTTCTCGTCTTCATCCTTATGGGACTCACAGATTCTGCAGAGATGCAGCTGGCCCTCTCTGTGCTGTTTCTCCTGATTTACATGATTACTGTGTTGGGAAACCTAGGCATGATCATGTTAATTTGTCTGGATCTCCAGCTTCACACCCCCATGTACTTTTTTCTCACTCATCTCTCATTCATTGACTTCAGCTACTCAAGTGTCATCACACCTAAAACTTTGGCAAACTTACTGACTTCCACCAAGAGTATTTCATTCCTGAGCTGTTTCACACAGATGTACCTTTTCATATTTTTTGGTAGTGCTGAAATTTCTCTCCTCTCTGAAATGGCCTATGATCGCTATGTGGCCATCTGCAATCCTCTACAGTATCCTGTTATAATGTCCTCAAGACTCTGCTGGGCCCTGGTTACTGGCACTTACATGATTGGCTTTGTGGATTGTTCTTTTGGTGTGCTGTCTATAGCCAGATTGCCTTTCTGCAATTCCAATGTGATTCTACACTTTTTCTGTGATGTATTTCCAATTTTAGCACTGTCCTGCAATGATACATATGCCACTGAAATTGTAGTATACATTTGTGCTGGTTCTACACTGTTACTGTCCCTGATCCCAATGTCCTGGTCCTATGTGTCCATTCTCTCTAGTATTCTGAAAATTAAGTCCACTTCAGGAAAGCAGAAAGCCTTCTCCACCTGTGCTTCTCACCTGCTGGGAGTCACCATTTTTTATGGCACAACAATCTTTACTTATTTAAAACCCAAGAAGTCCTACTCCCTGGGCAAGGATCAAGTGGCTTCTGTGTTTTACACAATTGTGATCCCCATGCTCAACCCTCTCATTTATAGTCTTAGGAACAAGGATGTGAAAAATGCTTTCATTAGGGTCATGCAGAAGAAAGGGACCCCAAGCAACTAAGATGACAGTGAGGTGAGGCATTTAAAGCAAACTTTCCATGTTCTGTTGGAAAGAAGATGTGATTCATTTGCGCATGCTTAGATTCAGTTGCGCTTCATTTCTCTTACCTTAACTGACATTTCCAAGAATTAATTATTAGATGTCTGTATTGAATCTCTAGATTATACAAAGTTACTTCAATGGGCAACTAATGTACAGCACAAATTATTTGCCTGCAACTATTACATTATATCCTAAGTCATGTGTTCTATAATTGGGTGCTCAGTAAATTTTCTTATGGGGGAGAAAACTATATATGTCCAATGGAAACAGTTTTCTGTTCATTTTTTTATTACATAAAATACTTTCTTATGTATAGCATGAAGACAAGTCACTTAGTTAAGGCTCAATTTGCTCACCGGCACGATTAATCTTAATTTCTGATGCATATGATATATGAGAGATGAAGCACCTTGACATTAATAACCTTTTGTCTTGTCTTTGTCATGTAGGTCTTGTTCCTTTAGTATTGATTGTAAAGCGCATGCTTTTCTAATTTCTTGTGTATTTATTTATGCCTCTTCTGTAGCTTGAACCCAGTACCTGGGCTCTGTCCCTGAAATTTTCACTTCTGGCTTTTTGGTGGGTAATTGAAGATGAGACTCTCGCAGACCTTTTATTGCCAGGGCTGACTTTCAACAAGGATGCTCAGATATCAGCCTTCTCAGTAGCAAGATTACAGGTGTGATTTACCAATGCCTGCCTCTCCACTGCATATTTATTTAAATTAGTTTCATTTAATTTTAACTCAGCAAGTTAAATAGCAGATGTGGAAAACCTCACATTTCATCTTTAGAATAAACTATTGATATAAATTTATCTTAGATAAAAAAGGCATATGTTAATGTTGAATGAAGGTAATTTGAAACATTCTCTTGAAATTCATTATTAAGGGGTATACTGTACCGAACATTGTGTATATTTTTCTCAGTGAACAATTCTGTGTGTATACATATGACTTATTTGAATGGAATTTATGTCATTTACTGTGCTCTTCTGGAACTTTTTGTAGTCACTTAAAAATCTGTTGTATTTGTGAATTTCAATAAAAAGCTATCCAATGAATATTGTCTCAGGAAATGGGCAGATTTAAAACTCATTTTGCAATGCTTTGGACTAAAATACTGTGACTTTTCCATGATGAAATTTACTTGCAGTAACATTTTTTATGTGGGCAACTGCTAAACATTTGAGGACCATGTATCCATTCACTTCTTGGGTCTGCTTCATTGTACTAGCCTCTTTCCTCAGCTTTGAAATATACTTTAAAAATAAATACTTGAGTTAAATGTTTGATTTGATCTTGTAATATTTCTAAACAGAAATATAAAGCAAATATCTGATAATAAATTCAGTGTTTGTGGCATCCCCTAAACTAAGATTTAGTTGAATACTAAAATTTCCTTAATTGTCAATTTTCAACATATTTTGGAATTACGATTGACAATTTTCTCTGATGTTAAAGGTAACTTTTTAAAAGTACAGTTTCTTTTCCTATTTTTATCTTAAGATACAGTACAAGTACAAACTAGATATATTGTTTAAATCCAACCATTATAATTTTATATGCTAACTACCAAGCTAATGTCTAAATGTTTTAATTAAAAGTTAAATATAATTTTTCTAAATGCCTTCTGAGTGTTAGTATAATGCACTTGCTACAAAAGCACCCATTTGTTCAAAATTTGTACTTTCGCCGGGTGTTGGTGGCTCACGCCTGTAATCCTAGCTACTCAGGAGGCTGAGATCTGAGGATCGCCGTTCAAAGCCAGCCCGGGCAGGAGAGACCGTGAGACTCCTTTCTCCAATAAACCACCAGAAAACCAGAAGTGGCTCTGTAGCTCAAGTGGTAGAGCGCTCGCCTTGAGCTGAAAAGCTGAGGGACAGCACCCAGGCCCAGAGTTCAAGCCCCACGACCAACAACAACAACAAAAAATTGTACTGTCAAAAATAAAAATGAATAAATTAAAAACTTCAATTTACCTATTTCATAAGTTAATCATTCAATAGATTCTCATAATTTCACAATGACCAAGATTTATATTAACTCTTTCAATATTTATTGTATTCTGCTACTGTCTTGATGTATTTCACAATGTTGCCTTATCATATATCAATGTCATTTGAAAGAATTTTTACTGAATTTTGCTTTCATAAGTATACCATTATTTGCTAGTATCCCTATGTTTATTTATTTGAAGTTAAGAGTAATATTGACTAAGTGTTTATCATTTACTGAAATTTTCTTTGTTATTGGTAAAGAAATGCTTTACCAATTGCTATATTCATGGAACTGGGATATTTCTAGCATGGTTGGATGAACGTTCTCAGATTAATAAATATAGTTTAGAATACAAATTGAGTTGATGGTCCTTATCACCACATCATCATTATCATCATATTTGTGGAGATAGCCTTTGACAAAATTCAAATTTAATTCATGATTTACAATAGAAAGAGATACAAAACATCTGATCACATTTGACTTCCTCCCGATCCAATAATCTTAGAAATTGTTTGGCTATCATCAACATCTATACGGTTTATGAATATTAGTTTTATTATTTGGAAATTATGCAGAATAACTATTTGTTCCAGGTGACTCGACATTCACCAAGCATAAAAAGGTGACACTGAAATTCACCTTGAGCTATCCTTTGTCTTAAAGTTTCATGAATGTTACATACTCAACTACTGTATTTCTAGTCTCCAAGACTAGAAATAGCACTTCCTTCCAAAAGTTCATTGGATATCTATGGATAGCTTCTTTACTCACACCAACAAAATGTTTGATGTTGGTATAATTTGTGGAAGGGAAGGGAAAAAATTGTTTAAATAAGGATACAGGTGGACCCATTGTAACAATGAGATGTACAAAACACAAGACATTATGTCGAAAAACAAAATTTACAACCTGGGGAAGCAGGAATGGGTAGGGGAAACAAAGTAGGAGGCAACAATGCTTGATAAGAAATGTTCTCATTACCTCGCTCATGTAATTGTAACCCCTCTATGCGGTATTTTCACAATAAACAAAACAATAATAAAAAAATAAAAAATGTAGGGAATAAGCACACTTTATTTTTTTCAAGATTTTTGTTTATTGTAAAGGTGCTGTACAGAAGGGTTACATTTACGTGAATAAGGTGATGAATACATCTCTTGTCAAATATTGTGACGCATTCCTTTGTTTTTCTTCCACTGTTCCTTCCCTCCACAACTCCCCTCACCCCAGTAAGTTATAAAGTTAATTTTCAACATAGTTTCTTGTGAGTATCATTGTTGCAATGGGTCATCCTGTGTCCTTGTTTCAGCATTTTGTTATTGCCCTTTCCTTTCCCAAATCATGAAAAACATGTATACAAGACACAAGGTACCAGAATCAAAGACAGTGATTGCCAGGGGAAAAAAAAAAACAAAACAAAAAACAATGGAAAAAGAAAAATGAAATAAAATAAAAAGAAAGAACTATACTTGTTGTATTCAATGTACAGAGCACACTTTCTTAGGGAAATAGTTTCCATAAATATATGAAGAAAAACATATTTTGTGATCACTCAATGCAAGTTTCACAAGAATCTTTTCCGTATTCTTACTGGGCTCATTTTCAGATTCCCCCATTTGCCTCCCCATCTTGGCAAAATACTCCTAAATGAAATAATTCAGGTGTTATTATCTCATTCATTACTAGCGTAGCTCTTAACAAAACATAACATTAAATAGCAATGCATCAAAAGAGACCAGGTAATCTTCCTCTTGTTTGTGGAGCTTCTGTGTGAAAAGTTCATGCAGATTTAGCACTTGAAATTTTGTCCTTGAAAATATGCCAAGTAAACTCCTAGGAATTGGTTTCTATGGATTACAAAGTGTTGCATAATATCCCAACCATTAAATATGGCACCCTGGACATATCAGCCAGGGAGTAAAAGCATGAATTGCTCTTAGAGTAGCTCTTGGTATTCTTTAGAAATATACCTTTCTGGGAAACTTCTCTTTTGAGCAACCTGATAAAGGTTCTTTGACTTCAAATAAATACCACAAAAGTGTGACAATAACTACAGAAAGGAAAACAAAAGTTATATTACAGAGATGGTTAATACCTCATTGGAATGGGATGTTTTAAAGTGAGATTTAGTAAAATTTGTCTTATAGTTTTGGAAGAAGTTTTCTTCTGACCAACATATGTTCACAGTAAGTATTCTTAAGATGTTAAATTTACTTCAAGATAGACACTAGAAGGGAAAATTGGAGAATAAAGAAGAGAGTAATATTAGAGAGAAGCATTAGACTCAGAACCTGACTTATGGAATTGTAATCCTCTTGTACAACTACGTAAAAACAGTAACAATGATAGTAATAGTAATAATGTTAGACCATAAAAAGATATTGGATTGAAAAAGAGTAATACATAAGGTTTAGTATTTTGTATTGCTTAGATAATTTCATAAAATGTTTTAATCACATTATAGGATAAAATGGAGAATGGTACTTTAGTCATATCATATCTAAATGTAATTTTATCACTATTCAGAATTATGATGGAATATATGTCATAATATATAACTTTATGATTATTATGATACAACAGGGTATTGAAAAAATGCATAATTTTACGATTAATTTTGACACAATTTAGGGTACTGAGCAAATGCTTCATCTTTAATAGAAATGTAACTCTTTGGGAATCACTTGAGCTAAGGATCACCTCTTCTTTCTCAACAGTGTCCACCAGCACACTATGAGAACCTGGAACAAAACTGTGGGATCCGACTTCATCCTTATGGGACTGACAGATTCTGCAGAGATGCAGCTGGCATTATCAGTGCTGTTTCTCATGACATACTTGATGACTGTGCTGGGAAACCTAGGCATGATCATGATAATTTGTGTGGATCACCAGCTTCACACGCCCATGTATTTTTTTCTCACTCACCTCTCATTCATTGACCTCAGTTTCTCAA